TTTTTTTTTTTTTTTTTTTTTTTTTGGTTTAAATATTTCTCGGCTATTCCACTTTCATTTGATTACATTTGATTGATGTCAAAGGAAATATGAACAGTATAAACAGTACTACCACATAAAAAGATCCCAAATACTTTAGGATTTTCTGGGAATACAATTCCAGTCTAGGGCACATTTATGATATTTGATATGAAATGACTGATTAGAACCCTCGATACTGTTCTTCCAGTTATGGTAAATACCAAAATTAAAAAAACAAAAACAAAAACAAAAAAACTTCACTGCCATTGAGCCGATTCTGACTCATAGTGACCCCCTTTGGGTTTCCGAGGTGGTAAATAAATCTTCATTGAGGTAGATTGGCCAATCTTGCTTCCATGGAGTGGCTGGTGGGTTTGAACTGCCAGCCTTCTGGTTAGCAGTCAAATGCCTTAGGCACTACACCACCAGAGGCCCTTAAATTGAGGACTAATCTTCAGCCACTCCTCGGAAGGAAGGTTGGGCAATCCTACTTCCGTAGTGATACTGCCTCGGAAACCCAGCCAGCCTTCTGGTTAGCAGTCAAATGCCTTAGGCACTACACCACCAGAGGCCCTTAAATACCACATTAAGTGACAGATCTCTGTTGTTCACAGATTATATTTCATCAAATAAGACAGCTTCCTACCCACAAATGTGAGAAAAGACATGATATGCATGTGGTGAGTATATAAGAACGGTTTCTCATTGTCCAGTTTGATAAAGTAAATCAAATAGCCTCATGATCAGATTTCCTATTGGGGAAATATTTTCTGCTGTTCCACACCCAAAATAAACTTTCTTCTGAGGGATGATATATCATCCAAAACTCTCAGTTCCAAACTGCTGGATCTCTCCATTGAAGCAGAAGTAAAATCCAGTCTACTCTTGTTTTCTTAGCTCTACCTTTTACCCAACTTCACAAGTTTTCTAGGAACTTGTTTAAAGTCATTTGGGAAACCAATGTATGATCTTGTTCATCTACAGGAATGGCATCTCCCATCTATCGACTAAAATCTGACCTGTTATCAATCTACAAGGATAGTTGTGTGTGCAGTTTGTTTCATAGCAATCTGCTTTGAAGATATTTATCAAAGTAAGTTTACCCTCAACCAGATTTTGCACACTGGTCCTCCGGCTGTGGAACACCTTATATAGTTGTCCACATTAATTACATTAAATCTAATTTCTGACCACTTAACTGGCAATCAGCTTCTGTGAACTGGATGCAGCAGTCAATGTCTACAAAGTTTCATTTGATAGGAAATATCTCCTCATTTTTCCCTTGTAGTTAGCTATTCACTAAAAGGAAACCACCTTTATTGAAATGTTCCAACTGACACCACTTTTTCATTTAGGTGTCATTTTCAAGAATCTTCCTCCAACCAGAATGGTTCATCCATGATATTCCCTTTGAAAACATTGTTTCTGCACATGGACTTCAGATAGTGCAACAAATAGTCACTGTCTTCCTAATTGCTTTTTATAAAGGAACTGTTAGGAGGCTAGCTGTCTAACAAGGTCTTCCTTGGTACCTTGATCCTTTTGCTCTAGTTGTCCATAGAACTCTCCTTTTAAGAGTTATTTGTAAGTGCCTTGGTCCAGAAAATATGGTTTAATATATACAACACATTAAATTTCTATGTTTATATTTTCTAGTAAACAACAGAAAAGGCTCGCATTGATCAGCCAGGCCTTCTCAAAGCTGAACTGTAAAGAACACCAATTTCTCTGTGTCAGTCTTCTTGCCTTCCCAATAACTGAGACTTCTCTTAGTAGGCGACCATCTTTAAAAAAAAAAAAATTATTTCACTTTAAAGACTTACACCCTTCAATTCTAGAATTGTCTCAGCTATTAATACTAAAGATTCTCTGCCATTCTCCTCTCCTGAAACCTAAGTGTATGTTAGAACCTTATGTTCAATTCTC